TATCCTAAAGAATATATCTACAAATTTTCATGAGTTTTGGACGCTTCATTGTTAAAATATAGGCGAAAACGTTCACCACCACTACTTTCGTCCGGAACTGTATATATTAATTTATTAATAAAATTAATATTTATTATTATATATGTTTCTTTTATTATAATTTTAGTTAATTATATTATAAATATACCTATTATATTTTTATAAGCTAAATTAATTATTAAATATATTTCTATTTGAATATTAAATACAGTACTTTTCTTTAAAGCCAGATAGTGCAATCCGAATTTATTTAATCCGGATTGCGTCATCTGCGGCATTTTAATTTTCCGTTACACATTAATCTTCAGTGGCGCGTCGTGAAGACGTGAAGTGATAGTCTTGAACTTTTAAGCTGCAATTTAACTTAAAATAAATACCTTCAGGTGAGGATTCTTCTTTTCTTACAGTTTACCGATAATTTTGTTAAGAACGAAGAAGCGCCTGCGATAAACTGTCTTGTTTTATCGGGAGCCAGTAATGGCAAGTCATCGTCCAGTGGATGGCCGGCTGTCTTCGGGAGACAAAATTATTAAGGATCTGTTAAGCGCACAAAAGGCGCCTGCGATAGACTGTCTTGTTCTATCGGAAGCCAGTGATGGCAAGTCATCGTCCAGTGGATGGCCGGCCTTGAGTGAATGACAGTCCACTTCAACAGTTATTAATTGGCACAGTTATTAATTGGCTTTGTTCGACAAGACGTACTCATCCTTTCTCATCTTTTTTATTTTTTAATAATTGAGATCACGAAATGGGAAAGAAAGAAGTTAACATAGATTGGATGCTTTCGTGCAATGACCCGTCTCCTCTAGAATTCTTTCGCCGGATCCGGCCAACACATCGATCTCGTGCGTTCGAAAAGTATGATAAAATTCTTGATCAAGCTATCAACTGTTGTAAAGATCCGATAAAGCAATCGACCTTAAAAAAAATGAAAGAAGTCGCTAATGTATGTAATTTAATATATTTTGCTCAAAGCATATTGGGAAGCAGGTTTAACATCTGTTTTTTTTAACCAGTGTAATTCAGACTGGGACGTGTGGCTCATAGAGAAAAGAGCGGTATGTTTGATCATAAACTTCAAATGGTTCGCAGCTAATCGTGATATCTATGTCTTTAGAGAAAGATTCGTGACGAGATCTATCAAGCAAATACTGAAGTTCATGGAGAATTAAACACGATCGTCAGAAAAAGGGTAATAGAGCCGAATGAAGAAAGTTTGCGAAAACGAAAAAAACAGTTGAATGGTAATTTAAATTTGCGGTTGTCGAAAAATTTATATAGGTCCTTATAAGGGCGCCGACATTTATTACCTAATGTTATTTTGATAGAGGTGCCCACCCAACCCCTACGTAAGATATTAATCAAAATTATGCACCAATTAATATCCAGCTCTACCCCACTTCCTAAAATATATGTCATCACTCTAAATAATTATATCAATTAAAGAGCAAAAGGACGACGATGAAGATACAGAAAGAGTTGAAGAGGGACCATATTCATATAACTATGTGACATCTTCCCTTACGAACGAGTCTTGTTCACAGCAACAAACATCGAATTCATCATCTTTGTTACCTGTTTTGAAGAAATACTGCGCAAATGAAACCACTTCACTTTATGAGTAAGTCATCGTAGTGGATCGATGATATCTTTTGACTGCTGCTTACTTTCTGTTTATTTTTTTAGTCCGGCCCACAGTTTCATTGTGGACCTGTCGCCTTCTTCAAAAATAAAAGGACAGTTTAGTAATGAGAAATGGGTCGAGTTAGTCAAAAGAAGACCTGAAACGGTCCGGAAGACCTACCATCACGAAATCGAGCCTCTTGTTGCCCACTTGTTTAGCCAAAAAGTAAGGATTTGCGGTTGGAAAATGAACTTGTCCCATGTTGGCATCACTCTTGATTTTTTCCTTTACTTTAGATGGATCTATTACAAGCTCGTGAAAAATGGTATGAACTTAGAAATTTGGTTGCTCCTAGATATAACAATGAATTCTCATATGCAGAGAACGATTGGGAGAAAATAAAACGTTGGGTAGAGCGAGTAACGGGACAATTGTATGTTATTTGACTTATTATTTATCATGCAATATGACAAATCTTTATTATGACATACTTAATCGGGTTTTTTTTGTTTTAACATTATAGCCTGGATGCGTTTGAGTCCTCTCGAAACCCATTGCAAAATGACTGTCATGAACGAGAATGGACTGGCGACTACATTATTCCTTTGATACAAGGAGTTCTGAAATTGGATGGAAATCTTTATGTTCCATGGTAAGTTGCGAAACTCTCCATTTATTGCACATGCATAAGATAATGATTTTTCCCTTGTTCCAAATATTGTTAAGGGGAGAGATTTCTGTCTTGGCAACCCAACGCCGTCGCAATAATGACAAGGATATACTCACCGAACAAGTTGAGCGAAGTCACCAGGTGGATCTTTTATGCAATTGTGAACAATATGAGATTGCTTGTGCACTGGCTTGCGGTGGACCATATACCTACAATCTAACTAAGCTCGCCTCAGATGAATTCAACCTTCCAAGAATAATGAAGGATATGCTCGATGACCTAGAATTAAAGTTTCTTTATGCTGGAAAGAATGGATTACAGCCATATATTATTGGGATCCAGGTGCGATAATTATCACATACTTTGGATTTAGATGTTGTACTTACATTTTTTTCGCTTATATTGGCTCAGACATATATGACAGAGGTTCGAGTCTATCTGATAGAGAAGTGTGAGATATATTTCCTCCATCATTTAAAATCTTTTAATCTTCCACTCACATTTTCAACTTATCACTACCTGAAAAATGCATTAAGGGTGGCGTGGAACATTCGGGTGAGTTTAGATTTTTTTTATATCAGAATAATGACATTGGAAGGTTTCTGATTTTATTAATAATTATAGGGCTTGGTTAATTCCTTGGTTCGGGAATTTGATGTTATTGAGGACGATGGATTTAAAACTCCACCAACACCACCGTCAGATAATATGAAGACCCAAAAAACACCCCCGAAACTACCAAAGAAAAAGAAAACAAAAAATTAAAAAATTCGTAAAGAATGCAAGTGTTACGCTATCATTGTATATAACAATCGTGACTCTAGTTTTGTAATTTACCTGAGCGAATAGTGAATTATTAATGAACTACTGTGACATTGATGTCATATGGAAATACATGGGTGTGTATCGGAAATATAGATAATATTTAACAATGTGTATCATATAGTTGGCATTACAAAAAATGCACTCGAGATTTTTTATTAAACTTTACAAAAAAATATATTTATGTTAAAAAAGCTGCTGTTAAAAAACAAACTCGAAGATGCTATGGTCCAGTGAATGTTTAAGAATTGTAAATATAATTGATGATATTTATATAACGAAGCGACGAGTCCCACTTCTTACATTGCAACATAAAAGACCTTCGCAGCTGATATCGATCCTCTTGTTACCTAGTTTACTAAATAAATAAAAAAATGCGTCATCATCATCAACTAACAAGAGTTTTCCATAACCAGCGCATTTCACTAGTTTGTACTTTCGTTGTTAGAGTGTATCCTATTCACCAATATATTCCCCCAGGGCACAGGGCCATGCGGGGAACACTTAAAAAATTTGGAAAGAACGTTCACTGCCGAAAAAGTGGCCACGATGTGCTTTCAATTCCCAGGGATCAATGTGGCAGCGTAACTTCAGATACACAACTCGACAATAACTCAGCGAGAGAAAAACTCACACTATATGCTTGCATTCTATATCAAATTTTTCCTTCGGCGATAATAGAATTGAAATTACTTTTTTAACAAATTTTCAGATCAACATTGTATTATACAAAATTTAATTTAGCATTGTATACACGTGTTTCGAGGCACGGGTCTGGAATCAGTGAAAACTACTGAATTTTTTGTAGAAGTTGAACTGATCGAAGAATAATGGAAACGCAAGGTGAGATTACCTCCATTTCAAATGGCGTGGATTCTGAGTTTGACGTTGTGAAATGTTATCGAAAGTTTTTGAGGGATAATGAGGTAGCTTTCATTTTGTTTTTTAAAATCATGACGTTCGTTGATTTAAATTTTTCTTATTACTTGAGTTCAGAATATGTCTATGCCTATTGCAGCCATTGAATCTTTGATTGAATTGATAAAGCAGAGCAAGGGTAAATATAATGCTAATTAGTTTTTGTCATATTCTCTATATCATGGTTCGTAATTAATCGAATTGAAATTCTTGGTTAGCAACTACTATATCCGAATTTATGGAATCCTTAAAAAATGCTAGTCAACTATTAAAAAGTTCAACGAGAAACTCCATTTCACTTTCAGCTGGGACTGATTTATTCTTGCGTTTTGTAACAAGAACGTCACACGATGTCACGGTGGGTTGGCAACAAGGCAGAGCATCATTTTCGTTAATGCATTTTGATGTGATATTAATTTATAATATGGATTAGAATCTTGACGCGTGTAAAGAACATTTGATGAATAGTGGTAAAGTACTTGTCGAAAAGGCGGCTGCTGTTCGACAAAAAATTGCTGAGTTAGGGGTACAATTTATTAAGGATGATGCTGTAAGTTTCAAACGAGAATACAAATACCTTCACTCGATTCTCATTAATGATATTGTTTTTTTTATAAGGTAATACTCATTCATGCCTATTCACGTGTCGTGATGCTTTTACTACAACGCGCTGCTAAATACAATAAACGATTCAAAGTTTATGTTACAGAGTCGAGGCCTACATCATTGGGGTTGGTAGATCTACCGAGAATTCTCATCAGTATCTCTTCTCGAAGTTAAAAATTGTTACTTTATTGTAATATGATTATTAGAGTTCGATCCGCAAAAATTCTACGTAAAGCAGGGATTCCAGCAACGGTTATATTAGATACTGCTGTTGGATATATCATTGATAAGGTCGATGCAGTTTTTGTTGGTGCTGAAGGTGTAGTGGAAAATGGTGGCTTAATTAACGCTGTATGTATGAAGAAATTTAGTTTCATTTATCTCTTCAACATGTCTCTTAAATATTATATATCTTATTCATTCATCTTTAAGATTGGAACATATCAAGTAGCAATAGTTGCTAAAGCTGCGAATAAACCATTTTATGCAGTGATAGAAAGGTATCAACCATAGCATTTTTTGGTGTAACTCAAAAAATCATCGGAATAAGTCTCATTAATATATTAGTTATAAATTTGTTCGGTTATTCCCTCTTAACCAATATGATCTTCCGACACACACCCCTGATCTTTTGACATTTCCGGATTTTTCGGCTTCAATGCAAACCGATGATTCCGATTCAATTCCACCAACACCAATAATATGTCGTGAGCGCCATCCTCAACAAAATTCTGATGGTAGTGGATATCCAGATTTAGATAGAGCGATGAATATCGAGAGTGCTCAAGATTTCGAGGTATCGTGAGTTAATCAAAAGTATCTTGATGATTTTTTACTTTTTAATAAATTTATTTTCTTATTAGGCGATTAATCCAACAGTTGATTACACACCGCCACAATACATCACCTTATTGTGTACCGACTTGGGTGTGTTGACGCCTTCTGGAGTTAGTGACGAATTAATAAAATTATATTTATAAACATTTTTGGGGTGTTCAAATTCAAACTTTCAACTTATTTATTTTCTCATACAACATAACATCTTTCTGCTTTCTTGCTTGCATTTGTTTCGTCGCAAGGAACATGGCCTCAAACATGAGGATTGAGACATCCGACATGATTTTTTTACCTGTTTAAGAAACAGGTCTTACATAATGTGCATTAAAATTACTCATAATTAAATCGACGATGTAGTGTGACACATTTGGGAATTTTTTTTCGTTGGGTCTCATGTTCAGTTGTGTTTGAAATTTTTAGCCAAATGAATTTTCAGACCAAAATAAATACCTTGCACGACTCATGCTTACATATTTTACGAGTTTTTCGCAATTAGCTACTTTATTACCCACACATCACTATTAAAAAAAAACACATCTCGATTTGCCTCAACTTTGGGCTCAACGTGGCTTTTCGTTAAGTTTGTTTTCGGATTCTCAGGCAGAACCATTTAATTTCTTATTAAAAAGAATAAACCAAAGAGTGAAAAGTTACAAGTCGCAACGCTGGCTTCGGGACACAAAGTAGTTCCCTCCCCACCTCTTTGTCGTCTGCAACAACAACTGGTCACCGGACAACGGATTAAACCCCTATTTGAATATATATCCATCACACTATTTTTTATTACATTTGTAAAAATTAAACAATGTCTTCGACTACTGCTGAACAAGGCGTTGCTGTCAACACTACCAGCGTTGCCCCTTTCTGTGTTCAACCCGTCACCACCACGAACACCAGCATCATCCATCCAGCAGCTTCAGAAGAAGCCGTTACAACCACCGCTAACAACGACAGTAGCATTACCACAAATCCTAGTTCCTCTGATGTTAATCTTGCGTCAAATTCAACCGTTCCAGTACCACCCTCTGTTCAACTCTTGAAGATTCACGAGGAACAAGCCACGGCAGCGCAAAAAACTGATGTCAGCGTAATCGCTGAAACTTTATCAACTGCGGTCAACACTGTTCGCGGATCGAATTCTACTACTGTATATGATGAGACTGATACGAAGAATTGGCCTTCTTTATCGGCAACCTCGGCTCCAATTAAATCATCGTCGGTGTGGGGCAGTCGCTCGGGTGCAGAATTAGTTCGTCAAGCTGCTCAACCAGCGACTCCGGTCGGTGTTGTCGGGGATCGAAACATCACTAATAGCGCTTCTACTCCATTTACTGGTGTTCAACCAATGCAGCAGCCTCTTTTGAAGTCTGCCGGAATCATTACAAAGGTTGTTGAGTTATCTGCCGCACAACAATCGCAAAAACGTGAATTCGGCTTTAAAACAGCCACTTCTGATATTGTAAAACGCATAAAGGAAAAAACTAATACTCAGATCCAAGTGTCCACTGCAAATGTATCGGGCACTACAACTTTTTTGATCAAAGGAAAAGAAGATGACGTTATGAGAGCTAAACGAGAGATACTGTCGAATTTTGCCTTAAAGGTATTACATTAATCAATAAAACGCTATGATTAATAATCGGATCCATGAGTGATCGATTCTTTTTTTTTCTGTAGATGGAAACTCAAATTCAAATCCCGGTCTCTGTTCGTCGTTTTATTCTCGGTGCAGGTGGTGAAACCTTAAAATCAATTAGCCTCCGCACAGGCACACGTATTCAACTTCCACCTCGTCAAGAGGAACATCACGAAGAAAAAACCTCAGAATTAGATTACGACGACGACGAAGAACAGATGACAATCACCATTGAAGGTGATGAAGAAGGTATCGACCTTGCTAAAGCTAATATCGAAGCAATTGTCAATGAAAAGGTAGATTTATCTCGAGATATTCATCGAACTTACCTTTTAAAATAAAGTTTCACTCAATTCAGGATCCTCACTAGTTTGATTATTTTATTACTTGTGGATATTTGTTCTTAATATCAACAGACATCTAAGAAAACGGTAAAAATCACGGATATTGAACATCATTTTTATCCTTTGATTGCTGGAGCTCATGGTCAGCGTCTTCAACAACTTCAACAAGAATCAGGAGCAAAAATTCGTATTCCACCATACATCGTTTCTTTTGAGAATGACGGACATGAAGGCAATAATAACACGAGAGATAATTGCATTGTCGTTTCTGGTGAACGAGATGCTGTTCGAAAGGCGATAGAAATGCTTAAAGATCGTCACGAAGAATTGGTATGCGTTATATGCTAGGCAATATTTTGGTTCTGTATCTTTATATCATCCTCATTTATTCCATTAAAACAAACAGAAAAGCACGACTACGACAACTAAGACCAACGTGCCAAAGCGCCAACACAAATATTTAATTGGGCCGAAGGGCGCAAATCTTCAGGAGATCCTCGAGTCAACTGAATGCTCTATAGAACTTAGCCCACCTTCCGATCCATCTGAGGAAGTTATAATCCGTGGACCGAGTCGAAATCATTGGAAGGCAATGCATGCGGTATCTGAAAAAGCAAATTCAATACACGTGGAGACTTTGGATATTGCAAACATTCATAAAACCGAAAATCCAAACGAGCACGCGAGAAATGTTTTGAAATATTTATGGAACCGAAGTAAATTAAGAAAAATCGAGGCAGAAACTGGTATTCAGATTATGGCGCCCAGAGGATCCTCATTAGATAAAGGAGTTTTGCTGGAATTTGTTGGGAAAGTTGTTAGTGATGTTGAGAAAGCTAGAAAGGAAGTAATGGAACTCGTGAAGAATTTGGTCAGTAGTAAAAATTATGTTGTAGCGAAAGAAAAACTTGCATTATATGAGTTAACATAAATTTTGTTCATACCAGTCACCATCTAGTTTCACTATTGTTTCCATTGAGCCTCATCTTCATCGTCATATAATTGGCCGTAAAGGGCAAAACCTTCAACGTGTCAAGGAAACGTACGGCGTTGAAATTATTGTTCCAGATGAGAAGGATGAAAGTCCAGATATTTTGATCGTCTTTGAGGGTAAAGAAGATGATGAAATTCCCACTGAGAAGAAAAAAAAGGAAGCTTATGTTAAAGAAGTGTTAGAGAAAGCAAAGCAAGAACTGATAAAGGCCGGTCAGGATGCTGTAAGTAAATTGCTGCATGAAAGTTTAGATCCAAAATTGATATCGAGCCGACATTAACGTGACATTCAACCGAAAATAGTCGGATTTCGCCACACAAACTCTCACGATTCCTGTTCGTTTTCATCGATACATTATCGGTCCACGAGGAGTCACGCTTAACGCTATAACTGGTGGATCCGATGCTCCGGTATCCGTTAAATTTGGTTCATCTCGAACTGGCGCTGCCGAGCGTTCTGCTAATGCAGAAGGTAAAAAAGCAACGACAATACCCATTTCTGATGATATCGTTGTCATTAAAGGCCCGACAGAGGAAGTGAATCGAGTTGTCAAAGAGATCACCAAGGTTGTTGAAGATGCAAAACATGTCGAGGTTGGTATTGTGTGTTTAAGATTATGAGATCACCTAGTAATATATGCTAACTCTAATATTCTAAATATCAGATTATGAATTCATACACAATCGACTTCACGTTTCCTGCTCAATATTCTGCTCATGTCATCGGAAAAGGTGGTTCACACGTTACCCGTTTAAAAGAAAATCTAAATGTCAAAATTGATATTGAAGGTGGCGCAAAAGGTGAAGAGAAAAAGACACATCCTGGTGAAAATGTAAAGGTCACCATTCAAGGGAGAAAAGATAATGTTGAAGAAGCCAAAGCAAAGATTTTGGATCTTGTCGACAAACTTCAAGATGCAACAATACTCCGACTTCAAGTTCCTGTTGAATATCATAAATCGTTGATTGGCGTTGGTGGTCGATATGTTAAACGATTGGAAGAAAAATATGGCGTGCACATTCGTTTCCCGAAGAACAAAGAATCAACAGAAGATGTTGAAGATGACGTTGAAGCACAGAAATTCGACGAAGTTATAATAAAGGGTGGTCGAAGAGGAGCTGCAGACGCTAAGGCGGAAATGATGGAACTGTTAGATTATGAACGTGAACATGATAATTCACTTAATTTTACAATTCCGGCTATTTATCTTCCACATGTTGTTGGACGAGGTGGTGCTAAAATTACTGAGATCAAAAATGACACTTTCACTCGTATCGATCTTGGACATGCTGAACCATCACCTGATAATCCAGATGAACAAATTGTAAATGTAGTTATACATGGTACTAAAGATGATATCATCAAAGCAAAAGAGGCGATACTTCAAATCGTGCGTGAACTTGAAAGTCAAACCACGATAACTATAAACATTGATCCACAACATCATAAATACTTAATTGGCCCAGGTGGTAGTCGCATCCGTGAGATTGTTGCTAAAGCGGGTGGACCAGATGAAAAATCTTCGCAAGCTGGAATCGTTAAATTCCCACGCCATGGTTCTAATAGTGATGAGGTTATATTGAAAGGGGACAAAAATGTCGTGGAAAAAGTGAAAATAGAGCTTGAAAAATTAGTAGAAGAACAGGTATCGATTTTTATTTCCCATATTTAATAATTACTATATATAAGAATAGATTTTAAATGGTATTTTCATTCCCAGAATAATCTCGTGGTAGACTTAATAGAGATACCTCGGATACAACACTCTCAAATAATTGGACGAAATGGTGCTTCACTAAAAGATCTTCAGCATCGATTCGACGTTGAAATTCAATTCCCAGGATCAAGAGGTTACAATGATACGCATTTATCGGGTGACGTGAAGATGGAAATAGAAGAGTGCGATGCGGTGAAAATTATTGGTAAAAAAGAAAATATTATGGCTGCAAAAACGGAAATTTTGGTAAATTCTAAATCTTTTTATTGTAATTTTGCTGTTATATAAATGTTTATGCATCAAAATTGAGAAATTCTCTTGCAAATTTCAGTCAAAAATTCGACATTTTCATACTGTTAATGTGCCAAGAAAGTATCATTGCGCGATTGCAGCGAATGGTATTACGGTACGTAAACTTCGTAATGATTATGGTGTGTTAGTGGATCATGGGAATGAAATCCCCCCGGAAGCCAAACCTCAAATGAAAAAACCTAATGGAAATGGTATTGCGAAACGGATTGACGAGGAGGATGAAAATTTTGACGAAGACTTTGTAGGAGAAATGGATTGGGAATTGGTAGAAAATGATGATAATGAGGAAGAGGGTGAAATTCCTTGGAACTTAAAAGGCGAGAAAAAACAAGTAGAACGTGCCGAGAAATATATTAATGATTTACTTGATGAAGCAGTAAGCTATATGAATATTTTTATGTTTTGAATTAATTGATTTATGATTAATTCTTTATCGGTTCTATTAGCGGAATTTCACGCATACAGCTTTCTTTACTGTCCCGCAACATCTTCATCGTCACATAATTGGTCGTGGGGGTGCAACGATTCAACGTATTCGAAACGAAAGCGGATGCAGAATTGATGTGCCCAAATCTAACGATGATGAAACTGTGATTGTTACAGGTTCATTGACTGGAGTCGAGGAAGCACGAACTTTGATGTTAGAGGTTATCGAAAGAGCATCACGATGAAAATAGCTTATACACGATAAATGCATTTTCTTTTTATATTTTATTGTCATAATGCTGATGTGTCTTATCAGCCCATTTTCGGTTTATTCCTTTATCGTTATATAGACATCAATAATTGCCTTGGTTTTGTATAATAAAAACAATACACGTGATTTCTATACCTAATTTAATTTTAAGTTTTATTTATGACTCACATAATTATAAAAATTTTTTATTGGCCAATGATGCATATTTTTAAAATATAGACAAACACTGCAAAGTCAATTTTAGCCAATAAAAATAGTACGCGTCCATATGATTTAATTATGTCAGAGCAAAAATTTTTGACGCGTCCACCAACGGATCAAGAATTATTTAACTTTAAATTTATCAGAATTTTAAGTGAAGGTATTATTATATATCTATATATTAATATATACGTAGAGATCCAATTGATATTTAAATTTAATTTGATTTAATGAAACAATTAGACCCACGAACAAAAACCATTAATGTTCTCGGCTCTCTTCCAGTAAACATAAATGAAGCTACTTTATCTGATGATGATTCGACAGATTATGCTATCTTACTGTTAGAAAAAACCCATTTTCACAATGAAGAGGTTGCAAATCTTTCACGTGAACGTGTTGAAAAATGGATCTTGCATGAATCAAATGATATTTATCATCGATATTTCGGGACCACGAAAACTCGTGAGAATTTACCAGATTTCCAAGTGACAATTATTTGGCCAGCTACTGAAACGGTATAAATGTAACTTTATATTGTAAAGAAAGCTTATCTATTTAAAAACTGTTCCTTTGTATTACCAAAAGCATGTTCAAAAATATAGTCTTCAACCTCGACACTTAATCAACGAAACACCATCAATATATCAACAAGTTGTGAAACCATTTATTGAATCAATTCCGGCTAGTAGAATAGAATGGGTCTACAATATTCTTTCAAAGAAAAAAGAAGCAGAGAAAATTTTATTAGAGGAGGAAAATGACGAAAACGGATTTATTCTTTTACCGGATATGTGAGTAAAGGAAGTCAATCATAGAATATTATTATATATATTGTTTCATTTTGTTAAATTTATTAATCAATGATTTATTTAATAATTTAGAAAATGGGATGGCGTGACATTAAATAGCTTATATTTAATTGCAATTGTCCATCGACGCGATATTTGTTCGATCCGTGATTTAAATCAAATACATTTACCGCTATTGAGAGGTTTAAAAAGGAAAATTCTCGAGTTTGTGCCAAATAGATTTCCCGGCGTGAGCGCAGATGAATTGAGACTTTTTGTTCATTATCAGCCATCATATTGTGAGTATTCTCTTCCGATTTAAAACACCTATTCAAATATATTATTTATTTATTTTGTCTAATTTTCATCATTAGATCATTTTCATTTACATGTTACTCACATTTGTCAAGATAGTATCCCAGGCGGAATTGCGGCGGAAAAAGCTCATTTATTGGATACTATAATTGATAATATTGCAAATATAGCTAATGATTATTATCAGAGAGCGACTCTAACGTATATAATCGGAGAAAATGAGACTTTATTTGAACCCTTGACTGAGGTTAATGCTAGAGTTAAGGCCGCTGATAGCTTGGTTTAACACATTATGTATTGGTTTCATAAATTTATGTACTGTAAATAGCATTATAATTGATTCTGTCAAAATCTCTTAATTTTGATACCCGTATTTTATTTAACCTGACGCATGGTTTGATGGGATAATGTGTATTGTACATGATTTTACAGAAAATTTTGAAAATCTTTGGATGCAAGATTTTTATTAGTAAAATATGGGTTGGTGCAAAAAGATTTGTACCTCAGATAAATATTAATAAATTATTTTTCAAACTAAAAATTTTAATTCTGTCTTATTTAATTAAGTTATTAAGTATTGGAATTTATTTAAATGTAAAAATTTTTATTATATATCTTTTATAAAAAAAATTTTTACTAATAATAACTTTTTTCAATTATTATTTCT